ATGCAGTGGTGATAAATGATAATAAGATGATATTGATCAGGGAAAGTAAATCGCTATAAATTGCTACATGAATGGCCTATACATGCTCCTTTTTTGAAAGAATGTACAGTATAAATTTTAAATTTTCCTCTTTTAGCACATCTTAATCCTTTGACACTTTACTGCACTTGGTGTTTGCCTTCGGCTCCACAGAGAGCAGAATGTCATTTTAACCAATATTGATACAATCATTTGTTAGAGTAATTTCAGTTAAACTTTCCTCTTGCTTTATACAATACAATACATTTAGAGTTGTAATTTATAAAACCGGGACATTGAAAGATTGCTCAATATCATCTTTCTTTGTTCTAACACCCAGAGTTGTTACATCCATTTCCTGTAATGTGAAATTCTGGCTGACGTCATCACGCACCTTCTTGGCTGTACATTCCTTTCTTTCATACTACCTCATAAATCCTTGGTATGTTAGGGTTGGGTTACAGCAGAAACAAGAGAGTCAAGTTTAAGGACACAAGTTCATATTGTGAAATATTGCTGTGCTAAGCTAATGCTGAGCCATCCTTTCTGAAAAGACCTGTCATATTGCCAAATGTTTCTGCTTACACACACAGAATACCTTTCATCTGCATTTTGACTGATGATTTGGAGTCACCCTAAATCTTTAAGCACTTTTGTACAAACATAGTGTGTGTTTGATAGTAGATATGTTTATAGGCTATGTTCACCAACATCATACACATCTGCCCTTTTGTCATTTATGTAAACATCATGACATAACAGATGCAGTGGGCATTGTTATTGCAAAAAATCTTACCAACAATTTGCTTTATTAATCAGGGAAAGTAAAATATATGTAACACTTTATATTTATACTACACATATTAACTATTAACTAGTCGTTAGTGTGCATATTTGTTGCATATTGATTTTTTATTAGTTAATATAAAGAACTTATTAATGCCTCATTCTGCATCACTAATCACTTTATTCTACAACTACAAGTTTTTATCAATAACTTCCTAATTACTGCTTATTGATAGTAAGTAAGGAAGTTGTCCAGAATTATAATCATAATACACTAATAATAATTAATACACTGCTCAGTTTTGGGCTTATAGGGCACACTACCACTCCCTTAATAACACTTCAGTCTATTCTTATGTAAGAAAACACAAAACTATGAGTGTTAATAGTGTCCAATTAACTCTAAATTAAGTCTTTCTAAATATTTCCTATTCTAAAGTGAGATCTCATAACTATTTCACTTGTAGTTTGACACTTATTATCCCACACATGTTCCCTATTTGAAAGCTGCCTCCTGTTCACACAGTAAATCCATTACAGCACATAACTACTGCTATTAACAGACTCTATTCTTAAGTGATGGGTTACAACTTGAACTTGGTCTATTGAGATACACAGGTTCTATTTCCATTCAGTGGCAGAAGAAGAAAGTACAAATATATCTTTATTAATGGACCAATATCTCCTTTATTAATGAACAAACATATCTATTAAATTGTTTTTTTAGTTTCTTCAAGGCTAAGAACAAATGTGCTGCCTAAACCAGCTGTATAAGTTTCAGCTGACAGATCTGTTAAGTGTGTTAACTGTCACACAGATTTTCAACCGTATGTCTATGTATATAACTACTGACACGTGTAAATATTCTGTTTCTCAGAGACAGGCTCCATTTAGCTCTCTAATTCCCACATGTGAACTTTTGTGCATGCCCGTTGAAGGTTTTTTATTTTTGTTCAATTTATGAAATAAAACAATGCATTATGTTTGCTGAAAATATTGTGTTTTGTGTTCCATACTGTTGAGAGGCTGTGTTTACATAATTTCAATGATAAAAATCACCAATGTGTGTTATTTGTCAAGGGGTGGCCAAGCAACAACTGTATAAAATCATGTCATACAATAAAATACAATTGAGCAATTAACAAGCATACAGTACCAATACAACTTAACAAAACATAACTGCACTAATATAAAACCTTTTGACGGCAGGTCAAAATGAACTTGCTATTTTGTAGCTAAACTATATTTGTCAAGACTCACAACGAATGTACTGCAGTTAGTTTAAACAATTCTAATTTGCTCTAAACTTGCTCAATGTTTAGAGTGATTTTTTAGGTGACACAGCTTTCTATTGTGTACAAAATTAAAAAAACATTAAGACAAAATGTAAAACCACAACATTTTTAATATTACATGCTTCCAATACAACATAACGACAGGACCCGCTGTTGATGGGCTGGTGCTGTCCAGTCGATCTGGCTGGGTGGATCGTCCTTAAGGTCCGCTGCTCATTAAACCCAGGCTCTCTTTTCCGATGACCTCACGAGATTTCTGGCATCGTCCCTTAAAATATGACCCAATCAAACAGCTTGTCTTTATCTATATCTATCTTTGAAAAATCTAATGAAAAACAGTACATTCATAGTATAAAAATATTCTTTGTAGACCCTTAACATTGTGGATACCTAAATGTAACACTATCAGTATGGAATTGTTTTTAACAATTATCCACACTTGTTGATGAATTGAGGATGAATAAATGTATAAATGAATGGAAGAATGAATGAACTACTTCTGCATCTTACACAGTTTGCATTGATAAAGAATGGTATATACTCACTTTATGTGTCGTTATCAGTTTTGATTTGATACACACGTTGCTGTACAGAAAACATGTAAAACTGAAATGAAAACTCTTTGTGTATTAAATGTATGCATTCAGCAGCTGTTTAGCAAAAGCTTACTCAATCATTACACTTCTTTGGCATAAAATAATACATTCGACAAAGTGTTTAAGTAATTTCTGCTTGCCTCTTCTTTTTATTCTTTTCATTGCAGAGGTGCAAACCCTCTGCAGTCTGTCTGCAGATAGACTCAGATCCATGACACTCTTCTTCAGAAAGAGATAAGGTGGATTATCAGGCCGCTATCTGATTCACACCATGGAGGTGTATGGGAGAGATTGATTAGAATATAGATTAAATATAAATTATCCCACAAGCAAACTTGCTGTTATAGTGGATGAAGGTGTGGACCCAAAATGCAAGACAGATTCAGAGATTGGTGAAGTTAAGTAGGTTTTACTCTTAATAAAGAGTGATGGCGATGATGATGAGAGGGTTGGGGAGATGGCAGGCTTACAGGCAGGCAGAGGGGTGAGGAGTAATCTCATCATGGCTGGTAGGCAGGCAAGTGTAACTCCAATTCAAGATGGAAGACAGACAACAAAATGATCTGGCAGAGAGTAGATGGAGCACTGGGGTAGATATACTGTTGATTAGATGAGCAGACTGGGAGAGTTGATGAGTTGATTGCAGATAGGTGTGTGGAGCAGAGCTGGAAGGCAGGAAGGAAAACAAGGGAGTTGTATGTATGGTACCGGTTGGGTTTTATTGCCTGGGAAGTTGAATATGATTATGGCCACGTAGTTGGAAGATAATGAAAATACCAGACCCTCAAGCAATTTATGACCACTAGAGGGCAGAAGGTGAACTTAAAAACAAACTCAACCCTTAAAGCCTGATGCAATTGTGACACATTTTTAACTAAAGAATATCACAGTTTTCTTTTTCTTATGTGTCAGACTAACATTGGCTGCATTTTTAATGTCAGTAAAAATGGGTCTGAGCTTTAGGGCATCAGGAGTTTTCAGATTTATAGGTTTGTTGGAGTGTACACTTGATACATCAGCAGTGTGGAGATTATTTTTCCTGTTTGTTTATTCAGGTTAAATAACTGGACAGAAATCCAAACTGACAGAGTATCAAGATTCATGGTCAGAAAACGTTCTCTATTAATTACTTTCAGGGCTGCTGGTTTTATTACAATCTAGTAACCATATTACAACCAGTCTGGTTGTAAAGGCTTTGGAGAAATTCAACAATAAAAGTCCCATATTTATACCTGGGTAGATTGCATAATTGTACTATACTTCGAGCCTTACTTAAAAAAGAAACACGTGTTCTCCATAATCCTGGTTCATGGGGGTTGATGCTTTTTCGATTATACTTTCAAAGAATGATTGCAAGAATCATGACAAAAAATTTCACTTACAAATGGTCTAATAACCATAGTTATAAGAAGTGATGATAAAGTCATCACAGAAATA